CTATCCAGAAAAGCTGGATATTTAGGACTGAAGGACAGATAAAGAGCTTCCCAGACAAGAAAAAGCTAAATGAGTTCATCAACATCAAACCAGTACTACAAGGAATCTTAGAGGGACTTCTTTAAGATGAAAAAAAAAAAAAGTAGAAAACATGAATAATAAAATGGCAATAATTTCACAGCTATCAATACTTACTTTCGATGTAAATGGATTAAATGCTACAATCAAAAGATAGGGGGGCTGATTGGATAAGAAAACAAGATCCATATATATGCTGCCTACAAGAGACTCACTTTAGACACACACAGACTGAAAATAAAGGGATAAAAAAAGTTATTTAATGAAAATGGAAACAAACAAAAAAGCGGGAGTAGCAATACTTATACAAGACAAAATAGACTTTAACACAAAGGCTATAACAAGAGACAAAAGAGGACCTAGTGGGGCCGGCAGAATGGCACGTTGGTTAGGAGTTGGCTTGAGACACCAGCTCTGAGCAGCAGGGCACCGGTTCGGATCCCACATGAGGACCAGTGATGCTGTGCCCTCTACAGCTAAATGGTGAACAACAGCTCGACCTGGAGCTGGGCTGCCATGAGTCGCCATTGATGGCATAGGCTGCAGTGGGGCTGGCTGGCAGCAGGCGTGCACTTCGATAGCTGTCGTGAGCAGCTGTCTAATGTCCAGCGAGCAACTGCCTCACCCGGGAAGAGCGCAATGGTGATACCAACATGGGCCAGTGAAGCGACGTCCTCCACAACTAGACTGAAGAACAAAACGGACAGCAACTTGTCTGTTCCCCTGCCCCTCCCCGAATTCCCCAATAAAATCTTTAACAGTAAAAAGGACCTAGTAATCCCACTTCTGGGTATTTACCCAAAGAAACCCAAAATGCTGCTTTGAAGGTACATGCTTATCCATATGTTCATTGCAGCATCATTTACAATAGCCAAGATATGAAGGCAACCTGGGTGTCCCTGAATGGATAAATCGATAAAGAAGAGGTAATACATATATACAATGGAATGTTACTCAGCCCTAAAAAAGAATGAAATCTTGTCATGTGCAACAAGATGGATGACCTAGAGGGTATTGTGCTGGGTGTAGTAAGTCAGACAGCAAAAGACAAATATCATATGATTTTATTTATAAGTGGAATCTAAAGAACAAAATAAACAAAAGGAACAGAAACAGACTCATAGATACAGAGAACATTTTGAAGGTTGCTAGATGGGAGGACAATTGGGGGCAGGGTGAAAAAGATGAAGGGATTAAGAGATACAAACAGTCGTTATAAAACAGTCATGGGGATGTAAATAAAGAATATGGTAATAATTATGTATAGTGCCAGGTAGGTACTAGTCAGGGCGATCACTTTGTAAATTATATAACTGTCTATCCACTATGCTGTACACCTGAAATTAATATACATAATTTTGAATGTCAGCTGTAATTGAAAAATTAAAAATGGGGGGAAGATAAAAGGAAATAAGAAGTTCAAATTTCTAGGTATAAAACAAATAAGTCTTAGGGATATAATATATAGCCCAGGAAATAGTCAATAATATTGTGATAACATAGTATGGTGACAGATGTTTGCTGGACTTATCATGGTGATCACTTCTTTAGTATGGGGAGTATAATCAATAATATGGTAATAACTATGTATGGTAACAGGTGAGTACTAGATGAGCTAGGGAGATCACTTCTTAAATTGTATAAATGTCTAACCACTATGTTGTATACTTGATGTAATGTACGGCACAGAGAATATAGTCAATAATATTGTGACAGCGTGCTACGGTGCCAGATGGTTGCTGAACTTATCATGGTGATCACTTATTTAGGTATATAAATGTTGAACAACTATGGCAAATACCTGAAACTAATATAATATTATATGTTAGCTATATTTTAATTAAAAATTAAAAAAAGAAAATATTTCCCCTACCATCAGGTGTGTACTTATACTTTCAAGCCTCTTTCACATAGGAGATACTCAATTACACTGATGGAGCATGATGTGGGTGCCGGGGCTCATTTCATTCTAAGAGAAGGACCCAATATCAACCATATCTATAACTGATAACCTTAGTGATCACTTAGCTTGCCCCTTGAGGGCAGAAGCATCTTTGATTTACCCTTTGGTTTCCAGTAGTTTGCACATAGATAGGTCTTTTCAATGAATATTTGCTAACCCAACTGAATTCAGATGGCAGTGGTTGGCTGGTTAAAAGGAAAACAAAAATATTTTGGAAAATAAGTCAGCTATCCCCATTAAACCCTAATAACGACAAAGACTTCCAAACTTAACTGAGAGGACAGCCTCCATTTGAAAATGTAGGCTGAACAATATTTAACGTTTACACATCTTTATGAGACATGAGAGTGTGATGATGCTCGGGGAACAAAAATTCTTTACCAAATGAACACTCTAATTAACCAAATGTTTTCATCACTGTGTACTTTATTTGGCTTTGGTGACTAAACCAAACCAATGAATCTGTGGCTGTTCAAAATTGCATTTTAAAAAGATTTTTTTGGATGTGCTACTTTGTCCAGTGTTTAGTCTTATTTGTTTAATTTAGCACAAAACTAAAATATTTCTACTAAAGCTGTGTTAGACTTGATTCACTCACTTTTGCACTTCACCTAGCAGGAGGCCAGATCTTTTGTGGGAGTTGAAGTATAGCACCCCCAAAAAGTTCATATACCCTGATCTAATCATCCATCTACAGGCAAAGAAAAAACCTTTGCCAGAGCTTTGCTTCAGTTTCTTGGTCTGTACCTGCTCTTAGCCCCAGGTGTGATCTTGCACAAGCCAGGCAAAATCACGGTGACAATCTCACAGCCCATCAGCTACAGAGCTAAGGATCCTCTGAGGAGAAGTTAGGATTGCTGAGAAAGCACTGGCTGCTCAATGTTTCTCTCCTGCTAGACAGAAACCTAAAGCAAGACAGACTTAGGAGAAACCGGATTCATCTCAGCCCAGGCCCTCTTCAGTAATCTTCCAGGCACAAAAGAGAGAATGAATACCAATACCAAGATAATATACATAAACATCTTAAATAAAGTTTACTAATTAAAAGGACTGATAGATGGAGTGATGTATTCTTCAAAATCTATTGTCATGTATTTGTGGACTTTATTGCTTATCAGCATCCCCCCCCCTCAAGAAAAACAAAACAGCAACATTTGTTCAGAAGAAAAAAAAAAGCAAATCGTGTTTCTTCCTTTCATATTACTTTTATTGTTTGAGGTTTCTTTTAGACTATAATGTGGCATTGTAATTCTGAGATGGAAAAAAAACAATCCCTTTTCTTTCAAACATAAGAATGTGATTGTATGCCATTGTTGCCAACAATGAGCTAAAGAGGTTAATGGATCACATATCTGGCAAACAGCCATCTTTCCTCCTGCTCAATATATTAAACAATATACATTTTGTCGTTGCTGCTGAGCTTATGATTTTGTCTAAGTAGCTGGTAAAAATAAGTTTACTTACATTTATGTTATCTCTTTCTAGAACTCAACAGCTTTGTCCTTCAAGCTATATCCTGAAATTTTAAAAAGTGCAGTTTGGAATCTGAGTCATGACCTTTGGATAAGCTGGTGAGAGTGGCCCTGGGGAAAGAAAGGGGTGGGCTGGCTGTTGAATAAGAATCTAGAAATATTGCTCCTTGCCAATTGCATCCTACCTTTCATTTTTCAGATTGCCTAAATTAATGGAGTAAAATTACCATAATAAAAAGGAATGAATACTGGAGAAAGCACCACAATTCTTTCTAGTATTGTTCCCAAGGATCATTATAACAGACCTCTAATTAAATGAAACAATGCTCCCCACCAATCCCAGGTTGACTCAGGTTTGCATTCTATGACTGTTATTTGAAAACAGACAAGCAGTCATAAGCAATAACGCTGTGATTCCCTGCCTACAGGACTTTTCTGTGTATTGCATTTGTGCTATGAAATTATTAATAGCGAGAGACCTAATACCTCAACACTTTCCGTCCCTCCTCCCCCCCAAAAAACGTTTAATTTTTATGAAACTCCACAGGGAAAAACTTTACCACGGAGAAAGAGAGTAAATTTCCAGGAATCTTTGGTTGGGTGGGGATAAGACATAAAAGAGGGGGCTAGAGTTGGAAGAGGAGCACCAACGCATCAATCTCAGGTCAGGTGGGATCCTTTCTGCAAAAAGCACAGCAAATAGTAAACCGTAGTCCTCTGGCCCACTGATTTTGCTGGGAGCAAAGGGTAAGAGGAACATAGACTGACTTGAGAAGGTGAGTTTGGGATTTGGACCTGGAAAAAGGCTGATCCCTGATCTTCGCTAGGCAGTGATCGCCCCCTGTGACTCCGCAGGCACACAGCAGTCTGAGAGCAGCCGTCGCCACCGCCCAACCCTTCAGACGTAGCTCTCCCGCTAGGCATGCTGGAGGCACAGGAGCTCCCTGGACACCTGTGTGCCCCAAGCTCCAGGCCTAGGCCCCTCTAACCACCAGAGACCGGTCTCAGCGCCTTAGAGATTGAGTCCCTCCGACTTGCGTGTCCCCGGGTTCTGCCGCTCTGGTCACTTCCACCGGTTCTCCAAACAAGGACCACAATCGGCCTGAGAGCCCTGCGCGCCCATCCCGCCTCCCTACCCGGCAGTTGGCCCCGCGGCTCCTGTGCCAGGGTGGGACGCGCGGTGCTCAGCCGCAGGACCTCCGCCTCGGGATAAATCCTCTCCACCCCTTTCCCCGCCTAAGACCCTGCCCTCCCCCTGCAGCAAGCCACTCCTGTGTGTGCGCCCTTCTCTGAGCTGAAGACACCTGCGCTTCCTTCCCCACCCTTCTCCGCCCTTTTAGCTGCGGTTTTCCCACCGCCTTTGGGAGCTGGGGAGCGGCAGCTGGAGGAGGAGCAGAGAGAGGAGGGAGAGGGCGAGGAGGAGCAGGGGCGGGGTGGGTGGGGAGAGAGTCGGGAGGGTGTGGACTGGCAGCCACTCTGCAGCTGGTCGCTGGGGACCTGGTCCCTCCCGCGCACCCGAGTGATGGAGGGGAAGAGATTCGCTTAGACACACACACACGCGCACACAGCTGGGCACGTCTCCGGGAGGCAGCTGCCGGCTGGGGCGCGCCAGGGGCCGGGCGGCGGCCGTGACAGCACCCGCCGCGGGGAGCTGAGAACCCGCACAGCTTGGCACCGGCGGCTCCAACACCCAGGAAGGGAAGAGCCCAACCACACTGACTGTTGCTCTTTTGGGCGGATCGGGAGGGAGGAGGCTGCCCAAGGAGCTGTCCCCGCGGACCCCGGAGGCGCTGCCCCCAGCGCTCAGAGCCGGGTCGCGCTGGTGCCCGCCCGGGGCGAGGAGGATGCGCCCCTCCTCCCGCAGAGCGGCTGCGGGCCCCGGCACTGCGCGGACTCGGGCTCTGGCGGCCGCCCGTGTCGTGTTCGCGCCGCGGGAGCGCGCTTTGCCGCACCTGGCTGGAGTCTCCCCGGGAAGTGAAGGAAACGCGCCCTAAACTCCACTACGTACTTCTCGCCCGCTTCCTCCTCCTCCGGGCTCCGGGTCCGGGACCTCACAGCCGCCGCTGCCGCCACCGACTGCGCGTGGGGCCCGCCCGCCCCTTACTCACTCGCGCGCACGCACAGCCCGGTTCGCTCGCTCCCATTCACGCCGCCTGGCTCTCCGCCTCGCGGAAGCCGGGGCATCCGAAACTACTGGACAAACTGCGCCGGGACTGCAGGAGTTGCCCGGTGGCCTGGCGCGACCCGCCTCTGGTCCCCGCGCCCTGGGCCCGCACCGCCGCTGCCACGGACGATGGTGAGCAAGCGCGCGCTGCCTGTTTCGCGCCGGGGAGGGGCTGGAGCACAGCGGGCTGAAACCTCGTAGATTTGGGGGAAAATATAAGAGGGAAAATCGTGGAGGGTAAACACCCGTGTGATACCAGCCAGAGCACTTTGTGAGACGCGGTTCTCCTAGGCACTGCTTAAGGACTTTTCCAACGTTCTCCGGGGGTGGGGGTGGGGGTCGGGGTTAAACTAGTGCAAGATGAAATGGAGGGGCGATTCCCGGGTAAATTTGGAATCATTGGTGTCAGCCAGTCAGTCCGGCAGTCTGTGTCTCACCCAGAGCTGGGCTCAGAGCTCTGGGCTCTCTTTGAGGGAGAAGAGGCAACACGCGTTTAACTGCGCTCCGCAGAGTTTGGGGGCTCGCACTGGGCCACTTCCCGGGTGGCTGTGGGGTTGTCGCTTGCAGCGCGAAACGGCTTTGGGGGAGTGGGGGACTGGAAGGCCGGAGCAGAGGGCAGGCAGAGGGCAGGTAAAGGCTCAGTGAACTTGCCGATGGGGTTCTTTCTCTTTCCCAAACAGCACCCACCCCTCGCAGCCCCAGTCCCCGCCCCCTGGAACCAGTTCAGGAAACCCATCCCACCCCCTCCAAAACACACACGCACACACACACACACACACACACACACACACACACACGAAATGGGTGCCATCGAAGGGGTGGTCATATATTATTACTAAGAGTTGTGCGCGGTCGCTGTGGCTTCTGACTGGAGCGCAGAGACTCCTGCTTCTGGGACTTGGGCGACAGACTTGGGTTAGGGAAGCGAGGAAGGCGCGCCCAGCCTCCTGTGGATGTCTTTACCTGGTGGTTCCAGGTGCACGGCAGCAAACCTCCACATCTCCAATCACTCCACCTAGGTGAGCGCCGCGTCCCGGCTTCCCTCCTTTGAATGCTTCAGGCCACCCACCCAGGAGAGCTGCTGTGCAGGTCCCTGGTCTCCCCAGTCCTTGCCCCGTAGGTCGGCCTCCCTCCCTCCTTCCCTCCCTCCCTTCTTCCCTCCCTCTCCCCAATGCCAGGTTATTCATGGAAAACATTGATCCCTTAAGGGTAGGTTTAATATTTGCAAAGTGCTTTATATTATATTACTTCGTGGATACATTTAATTGCACTGTAACTCTTCTCTGATTTATGTAAACTTAGTCTGATAAATAGCATGCAGGGTCGGGTTGGGGTGGGAGTGAGAGTGGGTGGGCGTCCTTTTTCCATAACGGTGCTCCTTTCTAAACTGATTTGCTACAAGTGATATAAAGCTGGTGCTTCTGAAAGCTTTTGCTCAGTCGTTTTGACATATTTCAGGGCTTTAGACAATGTTTCCATATTGCAATTTATTTCAAATACATTCAGCCTCTAGTCCAAGGAAAAGTTGAAGAGAAGATAATAATTAAAGGGATTACAAATTTGGATATCAAAACTATTTTTTAAAATGTTTTTATCGATATCAATTATGTTGTATGTAGCAGATTTCTTTTAAGTTACCTTAGTGGTTTCTCCTAGTGAAGTTCTTAAAAGGAGAAATGAAAACAGTACTACTTACCTTCCTCCCTGTATTGGCGGTCTACAGATGGTCCTTGCTTCAAGTGACTGAATGAGCAGTGGGGGTGAGCTTCTTTACTTCGGGACTATAAAGTCACTCACCAATGAATTCATGGAGACACACCAAGATACTACAAGAAACATATTGATAGGAAGGAAAGTTACTTAAATTTAACTGCCTCCAATACAGAAAATTTAAAGAGTGAAATCAAAACGGCTCTATCCCTTTCCAAATTACTCTGGGCTGTTTTAAAAATATTCTTTTCTCAATTACTAAAATATGTAGAAACACCATTAATAATGTAAAATCACATTTTCAAATAGATGCCTAAAGCACATTATATGGGAAATTACAAGCATGGTATTCCATCGAGTTTTACCTCAGTGCTCAGATGGATCATGATTTCTAGCTTAAGCCAGACCTCATGTTTAGATTTTAGTATTGGAAGTCGCTTCCTCTGAACTCTTTGTGAGAAGGTGCTGCTCGCAGTGTGTTGATTATGCTGGCATCATTGTCCTTACCATTTTGCAAGCATACACAGATGTTTTTCAATGAATAACCAACCTTCTTACTCACTGAATTTTCACTCATTCAAAAAGTATTTATTGAGCACATGAGCACACACACAATATGCAAAGCTGAGCTGGGTGTTATTTTCAGCAACAAAGGGTTTTGAGTAACAGCAGGATGCTTACTCCTACACTGTATAGAAAGGACTGCAGAGCAGTGGCTTACTTAGGGAAGTAGCAACTAAGCTAAGTAGGTGGTCGACAAAGAGTTGTTGACTCAGAAATCATACAAGATGTTAGCCAGCCAACTTTGCTTTCACCATAAATCCTACCAATATTCTTAACCCACCGCCTCATTTAGATATGACTCAACTTCACAGAATTTATGTTGACTTGAATCCCCTTGCTCTTTTTCTGAATACTTTGGAGAAATATAACTATCTGTACCCTGCTCCAGCTTTCTGTGTACAATTTCTATGGAGCAGTGCCAAATCTGCCTGTGTCATTGGTATTCATTTATGAGTAAACACAAATGTTCCTGTTGCATTGAAAAAGCAAACTCAATTCATAGAACACAACAAATAGTTTGCTCCTTTCTTTCCTCATCTCCTTATAACCTCAAAAAACAGTGTCATCTCTTAAAAATGCAATTATGTATGAAAGGGCAAATTGACAAAAATGGTTATTTAGGATTTTCCAGAAAAAGAGAAATGTGTAATTTTAGTTGAGAAAAATTTTCTTTGACTCATTTGCCATGTCTAGCAGGCTGGTCTTTTATTTTGGACTTTCATTCATGAATGAAATAACTCTCAAGGTAACTTCCCAGTAAAGGGAGCTGGCAGAGTAGGGAATGCTTGTGAAAAATGATGCTGAAAGCCCTGGGAATAGAGTGTGAGCAGTGATGCTAGGTTCGTACGATTGAAATTAATATGAATACTTGTATATTGTATTGGTCTTTATATGCATGAGTTTTTGGATTTTTTAACACAGTTTACTTAAATATTTTTATATTCTGAGATTATTGCCATTATGTGAGGTGTGATTGTTTGATGATGGAATTATAGCTTGTTTTAAGAAAAGGTTAATATAATAGATTGAAAAGAGAGAATAAGTCAAATTAAGGGAATAATTATTTAAACCATAGATGCATCTTCATTCAAGTCCTGTTTTGTTTTTTTTCAAGGGGAAGGAAGACATCAAACCCAAAATAACTAGTTAAACTTTCATTATGACCTAAATTGTTACTAGTTAGAAAAATCATACATTTTAATTTTTCTTTGAATTTAATATGAATTTTTTAAAACCAGTAAAGTGTAACTTTTTTTCCCTGGAATCCAATTAATTGTTGCTCACTTTAGAATCAGTGTTTGCTTCTGAGTCATGATGTTATCCTAACAGTTACAGCAGAAGTACAATTAAAGCAAGATATTAATAGCTACATTGAAAAATCACTGATAAAAGTCAAAAGAATTTCAGAGCAGCTAACACTTGTCAAAAGTAGAAGCGAAAGAAATCTAAAGATCCACATAATGTTTAGGCAAAATAAATGAACCCCTCTAAATCTCATATACAAGTTCCATTATCATGTCTTAATTAACAGTTGGTACAGTAGATTATCGTCTATCTTCTTAAAAAGTTTTATGAAAGAAAGTTATGTCAGTATTAAGAAATAGTTGAAGAGTTGGTTTGACTTTAGACCACTTTACCTAGACTGTGCATGGGAGGTAGTTATGTTTTATATGTATATGCATATACTTGTGTATACATATATATTCTACATATACACATATGCATACCTGTATACACACACACACACACACACACACACACACGGTGCCAAAAAATGTATACACATTTTAAGAAAGGAAAAATCTGTATTAAAATTGTAATACTCGATATATACCAATAACAAAAGATAAATACACGCTACATTTGACCTCTGCAATTACAAAAGGTGTTCAAAGTGGTTACCATCAGTGTAATTTTAATACAGTTTTTTCCTTTCTTAAAATGCGTATACATTTTTTGGCACCCTCTGTGTGTGTGCATGTGTATGTGTGTGTGTGTGTGTGTGTGTGTGTGTGTATTTGTCTAATAACTTTGAACAATAGGAAAAGAATCTCCTTTGTAGCATATGTGGTTTGTGAAGTCAGCCTCATCTTGAGAATGGTACTTATAAATGCTCAACTAGTTTGATATTAAAAATTGAGAGTATATTAAACTTTTTTGAACAATATATTTAAGACCTTTAGTTTGTGCTTGAAACTGTCTGAAGACCTCTGAAATATTAACTCAATTCTGGTAGCCACCCTGCTCACCCCCATTTCACAGAGGGAAAATAAGTAGGTAAAGTGGATGTTATTATTACCTTCGTTTACATGAGGAAAGTGAGGCTTGGTGAGCCTAAGTAAATGGCCCCAGCTCCACAGCTACTATTATAAAGGGCAGAGCTGGCATTGGAGCCCAGGCAGTGCACTGTGCTATGCCACTGCTCTTGAACAGTTGACTTAAATAGGGGATAAGTGGGGAGCAAGTCAAGTTATAAAACAAATACATTCGAGCACGTGAGATTTTTGACAGTTTTCAACTCAGAGTGAATCCTTAAGGGATTCGTAAGGAAGGCGACTGTCGTGAAACGCTGACATAACCTGAACTAGAGCAGTACTGAGTTATAACAGTGCTATAACTTAATGTAGTTTTTAATGGACTCAATCATTTTCTTAGGTTCAGCTACTTTTAAATTAGGTAACTTAAGAACTGATGCCATATTTAAGTAGTTTTAATAGCTCAGAGGATCTGATATTGAATGTTTTATGCTTCCCATAATATCCTTATAATGTGAACTTCTTGCACAGAGGTCAGTGTTATATGTTCCTCTATGGTACTTGGCAAAGGAATCAGTTTTATGTGAAGGTGTGAAATGAGAC